GGCCCCCGCCGCGGGCCTCGGAGAGCGCGTGAAGGCGGGCACCCTCGCCCCGACCGACCATCCCGGTGCCCCTGTGTCCCTGCGCTTCGGCTTCCGCGTGGCCACCATGATGCAAATCTGCGACACCTACAACCAGAAGCACTCGCTCTTTAACGCCATGAATCGCTTCATCGGCGCCGTGAACAACATGGACCAGACGGTGATGGTGCCCAGCCTACTGCGCGACGTGCCCCTGGCCGAGCCCGAGTTAGACCACGACGTCGGCGTGGAGGTAGGCGGAGGTGGCGGCTGCCTGGGGGAGCGCACGCCCCCGGCCCCCAGCCCTGGCAACGCCAACGGCAGCTTTTTCGCACCCTCACGGGACATGTACAGCCACTACGTGCTGCTCAAGTCCATCCGCAACGACATCGAGTGGGGAGTCCTGCACCAGCCGCCGTCGCCAGCGGCGGGGAGCGAGGAAGGCAACGCCTGGAAGTCCAAAGACATCCTGGTGGATCTGAGCCACTTGGAGGACGCGGAGGCCAGCGAGGAAGACCTGGAGCAGCAGTTCCACTACCACCTGCACGGGCTGCACACTGTGCTCTCCAAACTCACGCGCAAAGCCAACATCCTGACCAACAGATACAAGCAGGAGATCGGCTTCGGCAATTGGGGCCACTGAGGCGGGGCGCCCGCAGCTGCCCAGCACCCTCTCCGGCTTCATCTCTCACCCTCTTTCTTTCCTCAAAGCTATTTTCTTCCTGGCTGTGGGGCGCGAAGGGCAGACCGCAAAGTTAGGGGGGCTGCGTACGTGCAGGGGGCGCGGCGGGGCTGTGTGGAGGAGGGGGCCTCGTTCGTGGGAGGAGAGGAAAGTGGCGGGCGAGGGGAGCTCAAGGATCCCCCGGGAGGCGACCTACATTCTATGTTGGTGGGAATGGGACTGGGCTGACGCCCCACATTCAGCCTGTGCCTTTCCTGGTGTATCTTTTCTGTTCTTTCTGGAGGAGAAGGGGCCATGCCAGGGTGCGGCGCTGAGTTGCCACACTTCGGAGTGCAGCCCAGAGCTGGGTGCTGGGGAAGGCGGGGCGCTTAGCCTCCCGCCGCCCTGCCGTTGGGCCGGCGGGTTGCTATGGTTGCATCAGTTTTTCTGTTTGCACTATTTCTTTTCGTAACAGTGGCCCTGTCTTAAGTATTTCAAGTACCTCCTTGCTCTGAAACTTCGGCGATTCCATTGTGATAAGCGCACAAACAGCACTGTTGGTACTACTACCGGTACTACTTTATTAATGATTCTCTGTTACACTGTACAGTAGTTCTGTGGCACCCCCACCCCGCTCCTTTCACGCCACCCCTTTCCCCACCCCAGTGTGTGTAAGCTGGCATTGTGCCAGCTGGTAGGAAGCTTGCCACTCAGCCAGTGAAAATAACATTATTATGAGAAAGTGGACTTATCCGAAATGGAACCAACTGACATTCTATCCGTGTTGTATATAGAATGATGAAGGGTTCCATTGTTGTTATATGTCTTAAATTTATTTAAAACTTTTTTTAATCCAGATGTAGCTATATTCTAAAAAATAAAAAAAGCAAATGTGTTAACTAAACTGTGCAAGCGTTTGTTGCTCTTTAATCCACCAATGAATGGCTTAGTAGTTAAAAATAAATTTGAATTTTTTTTTTAGCAAATGAAATTTTATTTTCTCTCTAGTATTTCAAAATGGTGGATATTCATCTCTACGGGTATTTAGTTTGTTCGGGAAGTAGCTACTGACAAGATTTACTTCCAAGCTTTATTTCAAATTCAGTATCAAGATAGGACCATACATCTCAACAAGAAGTTCATAAATACTCAAAGTATTTGAGAAGGTACATATACTGTATCTTTTAACCAATTTGTCTAGGTTATTGGAGCACTTAAGTCACATTTTGAATTTTTTAAGAAGCTCAAGCACAAGCTGAAGTGTTTTGAGGCACAAAAACTTACTCTAAAGGCTGAAATTTCACTTGGTTACTGAGAAGTGAAAATTTGAAAAGAAACACCAGCTAATAATACTAGTGCACACACCATTTGGGTCTTTATTTACAAATCTTTTATGTTGATCTTAGGAGATGCTTAAATGTATTATAACATGAGCTGTGTATGACCTTTTTCACTAGTTCCCCACAAAGTGCTAAGCTTTGTTCAGAAGCGTTCAGTAATTCTTCCAGGTTTTCTGTGAGCCCATCTGTAACTGTGGACAGCAAATCTAAACAAGGCTGCTGTAGGGCCCTTGGGAATGCTTCTCAGATGCCATTATGATGCTCTTCTGGGATGGTGGGACAGATGAAACACAGTGCTCTGCATTTTCTTGTTTCATTGTTTTGGGAGGATAAATGTCAAATCAGGTTCATGAGGCATTCTGTAAGCTCGTAGAGCTTGAGTTTAAGGTGTATATAAATTTGCAGCTAAAAAAAAGCATAGTGGGGTGTGTGTGTGTTTTGTATGGTGTTGGCAGGAGCAACTCACATCTATTATCAGCTTTTAGCAGCAGTGAAAAAATGGGGAAGTGTCAAGACTGGGGTGACTGCCAATTGCCAGAAAAAGTTAATCGTTAATATATAAAGATAAGCTGGGCAGCACCAAAAGTAAGGTAAATGGTCTCTTGTTTTATGTCCCCTTTAAAATATCAAAGTGCAAGCAAAAATTACAAAGAAAGGAAACTACAGAAGCCACATGATAGAAAGAAACACAAAGACTTTAGAGCCAGAAAATTGTGTGCAAATCCTTTCGTTACTACTTATTAATTGCGTGTGTTTAACTCTCCAAACCTGTTGCCAATTTTGAAATCAGGCATAATATCTACAGTGCTTACTTCGTGGAGTTGCAGTGAGAATTAAACAAGATAGTATGTAGCATTGTTTGACACAGACCTTTCTTTAGGCACTACTCAAGTGCTTTCTGTGGTCCTCTCTTACTCTAAGCGTTGGTTCATGTCTCCATTTCTGTCCCTGCCCCCTCTGTTCATGAATATGTGAGGCTCAGGACGATATGTCCACTTGAAGGAAAAGCATAGTTTCAACTACATACGTGAAACCACAGGTGTTTTCTTTCTCAAAGTCTTGAGGGAGAACTTGAATTAAAACTAAAAAGTCACAGTTTGGGCAAGTGATGGCAGGAACTTTGGGATGTTAACTGCCAAGTTGTTTTGAGAATATTCTTGTGGTGTAAAGAATACAGAAAAGTAGATGGAGACAGCAAAACTAAACTGTAAGTAGTTATCAATTATGAACTTTGTTTTTAAAAACATTACTTCATTTAAGAGTATTTTTATATATAAATAGTGATTCTGACCTAGGAGTAGTAATGCTCACTGTTAAAGAGTTAGATTTTTTTATGAACCAATAAGGTTTCCAAGGCCCAGTAAGTAACTACCAATAGTAACTACTATTTTATTCCAGATCAGTTTATGAAACAAAACCAGGACATATCCCCAACAACATTCACCCATTAAAACTTCTCAGGCTATTTAAAATTTGGCTTAACCTCTGAAGTAAAGAAATAAGTGACTTCATATTTTCAGAAGGTCTCTCCTAAGAAATCGCAAAGTACTTCATATATTTTAAAAGTTGAATACATTGTGTGTCACCTCCCTCAAAGAGCTCTCAGAGATAATGGCTGTCTGACAGTGGCCATCTCCTTGGAAGTTTATGACTAAAAGGGAAGACACAGATGAACTGGGCAAAAAGGAACAGGTTAGATTGGAATTGATTACTCTCCAGATATTTACATTTAATGAGAACTTTCTACATTAAAACCTCTCACCAAAGCTTTTCAGAAAGCCTGATTTTGCCTCTAAAAACCTCTTTCTGCTTTGCTCACACGGGGGGTTTCATTTACACAATGTTCCTTAGTGGTCTGGCCTAATTTACTCTTTCTCTGAACCTGAACCCAATTTGTTAGAGAGCATGGCATGGCAGCTGGAATTATTATTCTTTAGACGAATCTGAAAACTAATCTACTGTTCGCAATTTTTTAAAAAACGAAAGTTACTGTCATTTGCATAGGCCTTTTCATTTCCCCTTATTTTTAGTTGCTGAACAAAAATCATTTGGGAAATAGTCTCTCTCTCTCTCTCTCTCTCTCTCTCTCTCTCTCTCTCTCTTCCTTTCTCCCTCTTTCTCTCCCCTATTTTGCATTGCCAGTGGTTCTCAGCTGTTTGCCATTCGGACACAGTACTGATAGATTGAGGGCTCAAATCTTATACCATGTACTTTTTTTAAAAAGGTCTTTTGATGGGACATCTGGTAAATTTTTACCAATCATTACATCTTTGTATGATTTATTTTGAGGAGTTTTGGATAAAATAATGACAGAAGGAATGTCTTCTTTAAAATTTTGGAGGTGATTTTTTGCCCCCAACTAATAAAAAAACTTGATTGGAAGTTTTTAAAACTTTAAACATGTGGGATTTTGGATTGGTCTGTTAAAATCAATTATTAGTCTTCCTAAAATTTAAAACTTTTGTAGTTTCTGATCAAGACTAAATTGCTGTAATTACCAAGGTAATTTAAATTTAAAATTATTTCCTTTTTCTTTTAAGGTCATACACAGTTTTTTTTTTTTTAACAACTCAGGAAAACTTAAAGGTTTATCTTGAGCTACTGCAAACACTTGACTAGTTCTCTAGTCAGTTCATTTGGAGCCGTGTAGAAGGAGTACGATCCTTTGACTCATGCAAACCAGGGCTCCTGCTCTGGGCTCCCCACTGTAGAGGGCCCCTACTCTGGCTGTTCTAAGGCCTTGCCACTCCCCAGAGGGCAAAGTCCTCAGGGCCAAGGGAATGCCCAGAGCTTGTGCCCCTGCTTCTAGATCACAGTCTGGGTACCTGGATTCTCAGAGTTCTCTGTCCAAACGGCCCTGAGCCCATTCCAGAAACTTCATAAGCATCTGCCCTGGGTTTATCCTCCCAATGGTGGGTGCATCCCTAGGCCTGAGGCTTGGTGGGGAGCTGTGGGCGGGGCTTGGACATACAGACTGGGCTGTCCATATGAACGCTGGCAGAGCCTTATGCAGTGCAGGATGGAGCTTGGGTAGGCAGATAAGGGGGTGGAGAGTAGGCTGGGAGTCCTCGTTTGTTCTTTTGTTCTGCTTCCCTGGGTTTCAGAATGAACAAAGGCTTTGAAGTTGGCAGAAAGGAATCAGGTGAAAGCAGCTCAAGCTTTAAGACCTCTTCTAGTTTTGACAAATGAGGATTCCATGGTTTTCCTCCCTATTTCCACATTCCTCAGGAATCTCCTTGCTGTGTTGAAGAATGGCATTTAATTAATGAAATGTTGGTTAAGGAAAAGGAAAACCACATCTGTACACAGAACTCTTCCAGGTGCTTGCTATTTGGTGGCAATTATAGCAAAGGCAGTTATTCTAGACTCAGATGGATACATCTTCCATAAAAACATGAAGATTTCACCTCCTTAAATATTGTTTCAACTGTTTCAAAATTAAGTTAGCCATTTTCTCATTACTGTCAAAAGTCTTGGTCATGTTGAAGCAGAAAATTAACAGTTGTACATCTGTCTAAACCAGGCCCACTAAAACTACAACTATCTTGTCAGTCCCTCCTGTTTTGGCATTCTGTATTTTTAAGAGAAATATTTTTTGTACCTTCCCAAGCTTTTTCTTATCTTTTATTACCTCTTTGTGTATTCTTTCAGAATGCTTTGCCTAGCAGTTTAAAAAATATATTTGCCAGTGTGCTCAACTTGAATAATCCCAAACTGGTAAGAATTTGGATTGGAGACTGTGCTTCTCACCTAGTTAAGAACAGCATAATAGAAGATAATTATCTGACCTTGGACTGTCTAGAGAAAGTGGTTTGTAGCACAGTAGATAAGAAAACTAAAAAACTACGGGCAAAACAGAGAGCCCAGTTCTTCATTTTTAGCTAGCTCAATAAACAATGTTCGGGGTAAGGTGTTTTCTAGAATCCATTTTACTTTTCAATATCGATCTTACCAGTGTTGATATGTGCACTTTTATCAACGAGCATTCAGTTAACAGGATGAAACTGGACATGATTCATTTGATGTTTTCAAAGGTAGAAACTAACTTTGTAGTTTTTCTTTTTATCCTTTTGAATACCACACTGCTGAGGTAAAGAATGTTGTAGCTTGTGGGTGAGCTCAATAGGGCCAATTAAAACCTGACTACTCTTCCACCATGTTGAAATACCTGACAGAACTTGCTGTGTCCTTGGATAATGGCCTTTTTTCTTCCTCTTCTTCTTAGCAGACATCTAATTGAAGAGATTTCCTGTTTGGTAGTCACAGAAAGATGAAAACAAAAGTACCACATTGTTATTGTTGGTTCTGACCAAGCTATTTAACATTTATCAGTTATTCACATCGCCATATTAATTTTAAGCCCTGCTATTTTTTTAATGAAACATATACATTATGAAAGAACATATATGTGTTCCATAGCAGCCAAAGTATGCGTAGAATGCAAGGAGTGTAGTTATTGTAGTTTAGTCATACAAAAGAAGATGTAGTACGTTATGGCATCTAATTGACTCATGGATGCTTTGGGGGTATAATTTTGT